TTTTGCAATGGGCCTTCTGGCCTGCCACATTTAATGCTGTGGGAAAATAAGAGGGCGGGGGGATTATATAGAGTATGGGAGAGATATAGTCAAAATAACATTCCTTTCTCAGAGAATCAAGGACATCTTGGCCTGCACCTGGAGGGGTGTGACTGGGAGGCATCTCCAGAGTTGGATGACGCCTGATTGGGCCATGGGATGGACATTTGGGTGCTGGGCAGGGTCTTGAACTTTATTTTGGATGGAGAAAACCTGGAAGCTTTCAGATTTGGGTTTCCCCAGATGTGCCAATATGACATCTCTAATAAAATGGAACTTTGAGGAACCTCAGAGTCTTCTTTCATTGGGGGTCTTACTTGGGACCCTGACAACCACTTGACCAAATCAATCAATCAAAGCTAATTTCTCTCCTCCAAAATTCTTTGAATGTATCCGTAAATACATTCGAAAATGCTTGGAGATTGTTTTCTGTCCAATCTGGTCCACAGGATCAATGCTTATCTTCATGCTATTTTTTTCCAAAGAGCTCCAGCTCTCCCCCCCCCACGTTTAAAACTTCTGTTTCTTGCAAATTGCTCCAGCGGAGGTATCATGGACCATCCTACCTGCAAAGACAAGGACCAATTTGAGAGATCTTCCCTGAATGAGACTAATTGTCAGTCTCGAGAAGGAAAAAGAAAAGGAAAAAAAAGCGAGCTTCAGGGGGCATTTTCCTCTTTCAATCTGGAGGGCCAAACCACAGTGGGATCAGCCTTATGAAAGCGTTTCCTGGGGATGTACTCGAACGGCTTCCTGAGATGATAATTGGAGTCATCTGGCTTAATTGAGCACTACTTTTGACAATTAACTCTGGGTTTTTCTTCAGAAAAAAAGAGAAAAGAAAATCATACGAGACACACTTAAAAGGATGAGTGAAACGAGGTTCAAATAGGAGTTTGGGCATCTAGGAGAACATTTCCACTTATGCAAACTTCGCTGCTGAACACTCAAAACCACACAGATACAGGAGCATAAACTGGTTTGGAGACCAAAGAAATGATTTCCTTTTGGTCAGGAGATTTATTTTAGGAGCTCTATCAGACCTAGGTTTTGGTCACCACACTATAAAAAAGACATTGAGACTCTAGAACAGTGTGTCTCAACCTTGGCAACTTGAAGATATCTGGACTTCAAGTCCCAGAATTCCCCAGCCAGCGAATGCTTGGCTAATAAAGAATTCTCTTCTCTTCTCTTCTCTTCTCTTCTCTTCTCTTCTCTTCTCTTCTCTTCT